CGTGCGCAACCTCGCAAAAGAAGACCTGAGTGATGGAGAGAAGTGACATATATATATATACACATACAGAGTACAACATATTTTTTGTGTTTGTTAATGCGGAAGTGGGTCGCTCCTGCAGTCCCCCACGGTGAAGTCCTGCTTTCCCCGCGGTGTCCCTCTCCGCAGCTGCCGCAGAGACCTCAGCGAATGTAGTTCAGGCATGTGGTGATCATGAGATTTTCAAGTCCTTGCAGGGACAGCCCAGATGGTGGGAGTAGCAAAAGGCAAGGATTGCCTTTGTGGTGACGCATGAAAGTGCGAAGTGGGGGTGTTTAAACGTGATTTGTTGGGTGACTTGATTCGTTTGATATCAATAACGATGCCGGAATTGTTTTCTGCTGTTCAGGTCTGCGAAACAGTTGTTTCAACAAGCGTGGAAAGCGACAAAGCTCCTGCCTCAAGACACTGTGAGTAAGTAGGCTTCCTGCAGCGATATACTTGCCCATGTTGCTAGAGTCTGCTAGAGAGACACTAGGGTTTTGGGAGGCGGCTTGGCAAAGGGCACAAAGAAAAGCACGAAGGGCACAACTAAAACGGTGCAGCTCTCAGTAGCGACCTGTGGGACTGCTTCAGCGGGTTCCGCTGCAAGCTCAGGATTGCATAGGACAGCGCAACCGGTGCGGTTCTTGGGGACCAGCAAATTCCCTAGTAGCGTCCTTGCTCCCAGTAGTAAGGCTAGTAGCTTCTTGTTCCTAGTAGTAAGGCCAGGAGCCCTAGTAGCGTCCTTGCTCCTAGCAGCAAATTCCACCAGAGAATTCGGTTTTGCTGGGCTGAGGCCAAGACTGGTCCTTCTGAGAAGGATTCAGCTGTAAGTTTTAGATTTGGAGAAAGAAATCAGCCAAACGCTTGCTGGTAGATTTTGCAGGACATTTAGTGAGTAGCGCATGGTGGCATTGCATTATTGCATGAGGCTTTTTTCCACTGCCACGCTGGGCTCAAGTATCACTCCAATCATGAAAGTGGGCCGTTTGAAGAACCAATTGGAGAACGGGAGGCGGCTACGCTGGAGTGAAGATAGGCTGTTTGCAACAGTTGGGCCTACAAGGAAAGATATTCACAGCCGTTCACAGTGGAACGAGGCCCCATTCAGGCTTCCAATACAAAGGACAACTTTCTTACCTGTCACCTCGTGATTGCAGCAAAGCACTTGCGGCTTTCGATTTCCAACGCGTGAAGCAAAAGAAGGATGAATGCCCAACGGAGTACCCAGCTTACTGTGCAGGTAATAATCAGCAGGTGAGAGAAACATTTCCAGTGACATTTGAAGCGCTCAATCAACAAATCACAACTGATGGTATGGTTGAAGAAACCCGGCAGAAAATCCACGCCGCAAACGTATCAATCAGGAACGGTCAGGGAGTGTATGATTCAAACGAGCATTGGAGCTCTACGAACCAAAATTTGTTCCATGATGTGTGGAGTTTCCATTAACTGAAAGAGATTCAATCCGTCGGTCTCTAGGTTACTGCCATGTACCTTATTTCTCTTTTGTCCGATTTGTCCATTGGCTTTGATCTCTGATTCGATCATTGCGGTGCAATGGCAAACTGGCGAAGCCGAACCAAGAGCTGAGAGAAATCCAGTGACGGCAAACACTTGCGTCCGCAACAGGTCTCTATTGTGTAGAAATGTGCAGAACATATATAGAACAAGAGGCCCAAATGGCCTGCATATCATTTAATATGTAGAGTCGTAGAGCTTACCGTCATCATGAATCCCCCTTGATCGATCACTTCGGCTTGGTGCTGAGCCACGTTTCACCAATAAGAAACCAATCAAAGCACCGTGAGCCACGTGTCACCTAGCAAACTCAAGTCCACAATAAGAGGACGTTCCACCCCCTGAACCCCTGTGCCTGAATATATAAGACAGTTTGATGTCCTTTAGTTCTATAGGGGCCATGCAACCCGGAACGGAAGCGGACGAAAGGATTCATGTCGCGGAGTGGCCCCCGCAGGCCAGAGCATGATAAAGGCCAGCCCTGAGAACTGCTGAGACTATGGGTGAGTGCCATGACTGCGATCCATGATGCCTTTGTGCTGAACTTTTCACATTTGCAAGGATCAGGTTCAATTGCATCCAGAGCCCACAATATGCTCGGCCGACCACCTTGAGGCCTGACAAAAGCGCATATAATATAGACTATAGACTCTATGATGAGATGATCATTTGCTGAGGAGCTGGTGCTTTGGGCAACCAGAGCGAAAGGCACGAATGACTTGATTTCACTTTACGAGGGGTCGTGCCAAATCTCGAGGAACTCGTTGAGTTTATGCAACAGAGTGAATTCGCACTGCCGTGAACACTCCGTGCAGATGCTGATGGTTTAGTCTGTGCCTGATTTGATGAACTTGGATTTGTTGAGACTGAATCGTGCTCAGGAGTTCAAAACCAGACTTGTAGTTGCGTTAAGGACCATGGCTACTGGCAAACTTGGGGACCACCTTGCGATGTACAAGAGTTGGTGAACTGGGAGCGGCTTGCTGAATGCTATCTCTGTATGTGAGCATTGATTCATATTGATTCAGAGTTTCAAGACGTTTCAAGAACTTGCGTTGGACCTGGGGTTTCTCAACCAGTCCTCGTTCCTCTTGCAGCCATTTGGGCCAGGAAGGTGATGCTCCTTGTCACCCCACGGCCATGGAGGGCCTTGATCCGGTGGTAGCGAATCGAGTGAATGCCGTGGAGGCAGAGATTCAGCAGCTAAAGCTGCAGCAAATGCAGGATGCGCAGCAGGCGCAGCAGGCGCAGCTGCTACAAATGCAGCAGCAAAGTTCCCTGGCAACCATTGCTGTTTTGCAGGATCCTTGGGGGTTTGTACCGTGTACCATGTCCAAAGTTCAAGAGCAGTCAGTCATTGCTCTTGAATAGGCAGAATTGCAAGGGCAATGCCCAGATCTTTTTTCTGTACTGAGTAAGACATTGTCTGACATGGTTAGAGGTACCACATCTCTTAGCCGCATTTCACACATGCCCCCGGAAAGGTTGAGAAAGTCGGTAGAACTGGTGTCGGTGCGGATTCGCGCCGCCTGCAGCTAGGCTTCAGCACCCCACGGCTGCCTCCAATTGGTCCCACGGGCCCAGCTCCGAGCCCAACACGGGCTTTGACGAGCCCTGCGGAAGGGCGAGCCGCTGGAGCAGCATCTGAGGCTCCGAATCTGGCGCACTTAGAACTCATGGCTGCGCATAAGGAGCTGCTCAAGATGCTGCAAAGTCAAGTAAAAAGCAATGAAGAAATGGAGAAGTCCCGGGCCAAACAGGTCTCAGAGCTTCTCAAAGCACATCAGGAAGCGATGCAAGCGAGAGACAAGCCGGAGAAGCCGTCTCGCAAGGTTGTTTCCAACGATTCGTCCATTTCTCCACCGAAGAATCTCACAATCCTAGACAACACTCTGCTTTTCTTGCCGGAGAATGCCGTCAGAGAGCTAAGCCTTGAGCCCAACATGAACGACAAAGGAGATGAGGAGAAGTACATGTGGGTCGGCCGAGTATGGGAGTTGCGAACTCTTTTGATGCGCTTCAGCCAGGAGAAGGTTGATACGATCTCGAAGGATTCTGAGAATATCTCTGAATTCCGTAAGCGAGAACTCAAGACCCAGATGAAGGACCCAGAGATTCGTGCAAAGTTAAAGCGCTTTGCTGCTCGATGGCGTGGTTCAGCCCAACGACTGCGTTGTAGCTTTTCGGTCTTGGAGAGGTTGAAATATTCACATCTTCGAGGAACGCTGATTTACGCCCATGGCTCTGGTGGTTGCAGCTGGGACAACTATCGCATATGTCGTATGATTGCTGCCATGGGGATTTTAGTCATCGCTCCAGATGGCTTTGCATATCCCAAAGAGACTGCTATGGGTCAGATGAGACACAAGAGCCTTATGCCATTGCACAAGTCAACCAGTGATGTTGACTACTGGGCCAATGATTTGCTGTACACATCTTCAGCCTGGGGAACCTTCAACTACTCAAGCAAGGCAGATAGCGAGCCTTCTCCTAAAGATAAAGTCGCTTTCAGTTTTTCATCTATTCAATCTATTCTGTTTCTAGTGTGAGGTACTGTATGCCTGTCCGTCAAGAAGTTATGTCGATGCACGCAGTCACGCCCGCTTTGAGGTGTTGAAAGATCCTCAGGAGTACAAGGATATCTACGAGAAGTGTTATCAGCTCCGCCGATCAGAACTTCATTTCATCATCGCTCGGTTGCCAAAGTGGGTATTGGCTCAAGGCTTCTTTCTTGGGGGCACTTCTGAAGGTGCCATGACAGTGACCAGATTTGATGATCAGAGATACGGTGATTTGATTATCGGCCGTTTCATCAACTCCTTCAGCATGGAGTATTGCTATTTCACTCCGGAGCCCGAAGCGGCCCTCTTGGGTGGACGATTGGATATCCCAACTCTGAACATCATCGGCACCAAGGACCAATACTTTGGTCCGGTGGACAGTGTGGCCAAGATCGTGGCCGACAATGGTGGCTGTGGCGATCGCTTCTTGACGGGCAATGGCTTCAAGACCATGGTACGCCAAGGCGTTGATCTGGGTCTCGTCTGCGTTTTGGAGCCACTTGACGTGAGATGAACAAAAATATGTATATATATATATATATGTGCCCACTTGATGTTTGCTTTTTTGGATGCTTCTGGAGGAACCTTGAAACCTTGTAAGGGAAGTAACTTGGAGTATGCCAGAAGGATCACAAACAGGGAGCGAACACAATTCCCCAAACTATGACACTTTTAAACACGCTTTTGTATTTTTTTCTATTTGTATTTCTTTAGGGGGTTCGGTTCGGTGGCGCTTTTTGCACCATTTTGCAATCCTGAGGGGAGGAGTCCATTCCCCTTGCAACACGCATGATAACTTCCTGCGGCCTCTATTCAATGCATTTTTCTCAAGGACCAACCTGCGTTCCCATTTTGCCAGTGCATATAGTAAGTTCCTTTTCTACAACACATTGAAATCACGATATGTCAGCATCATCACATCCGTGCAGACGACTTCTTTTGAAAAAGGCCTGATGTGGATAGATATACTGTAGCTTGTTGTCTTATGGATTGCCCGTGAATCCAAATCCAGGACAGGCTCTATTTGGGAGCTGCACAGGTTCCTGGGCATGTCAGATCGCACTCTTGCAGTCAAGCTTTTGACACATGTTTTTGACCCATACCAAACTCAGGATTTGGCAGGCTGATTCGACATTGAGGTCGCTTGTCCAGCTTGCAGCAGTCTCAGAATAGAACAAGCTTCCATAAGTGTCCATCTCATTTTTGGCTGTTTGGTGGATCAACGGCAGCTGCTCTTTCTTGCATTTGCAAGGTCGAAACCACCGCCAGTGAGGAAGCCAAAGGGAAGCGCGTGACACTGTTGATGGTTCCGAACATGAAGTTCCCGAACCATATGACCCTCAAAGAGATTGAGGTTCTTCGAACTCATGAGGTTGCTGCCGAGAGATTAAAGGAACAGGCCATCATGCAGGCTCAGGAGGGTGAGATCAAAGAGCTCTTACAAAGAACCCGGGCTGAAGCGGCCAAGTTGTCCTCTCGGACCACCTCCAGTCACAATTACTATGCCAGGGACAAGCTGGCCATCAAATGTGACTGGAGTGAGTGGCTGCGGAAGCATTCCAATAGTTGAGAATTCTGAGGTAGCGTAAAGTGGCCCAACTGGGACGCTGATTTGTTGAGATGCTGTGCTCACGGTGATCTGTGCAAAGATCTCAGATTGTTTCACGAAATTCTCCAAGGCGCTGAAGCCCTCAGGGAAGCAGTCACTTCAGCCCCGATAAATGGAAGCAGAGATCGGGTCACTTTCTCTTCTACATGAGAACAGTTTGTTACACAGGGTGTTCAGTTGAACCATCAATGTTCGTTAGTCAAGAAGTATGTAATGTAATGTAATGTAATGTAATGTAATGCAATGTAATGCAATGTAATGTAATGTAATGTATATAGTGTAGTGTAGTGTAATGGAATGTAATGACATTTTTCGACATTTCCAGACGCCAGTCGTCTCTGACTGTTGCTTCTGTCATCCAGTGATCTTTGGCTCAGCCCATCATCGAGCTCTCCAAGGGCTTGGTCTCTGATCTTGCGACGCTGAAAGGACTGGTGCCCTGGAGAGCCAATCCAAAATACTCTAAAAGGCATGCACTCGGCCAACTGTCGGGGCATTCCTGGCGAAGCCAAGCTTGGAAGTGTCCTGCACGACTGGTGCCACGGTGGCAAGCAAATCACTTGATCCAGTATTTCACATGTGTGATCTCCGTGCAATTGTCAAACAGCACCGGCATCATGGCAAAGTCAGTGAAGTTAAGAACAGGTCCATGCCTTTGATCTTCCCAAGGATAGGCTGAGAGACGTCAACCGCAAGGCATATGGCTTCTGGAGCACCTGAGCTCAGAGTCTTTTTGTCCAGCTCTGCAATCTAATCAAAAGCGGAGATCGGTGCCTCCAGAGTCTGACGCATGAATGCCCGTCAGATCGATGAGAGAGACCTGGGGCTTGAAGCCATTTGCGCAGATTGTGCGTGAACCTGTGTCCAGTTGTCCAGCACACCATCCCCATGATTCAAAGAACGGCCCTGTGTTGTGAAGCCAGGTTCTTCTTGGCGTGCGACAAAGAGGCCGAAAAGATGCCAGGGTACTGTACTTGGCCATGGCTGCAACAAAGAGTTCCTCAGTTTTGGTGACCCCCGAAAAGAGCAAGGCCGTAGTGGCACAGCGCCAACGGCTGTCATTGCAAAGGGGCCAGTTTGGTGATGCATCAGAAAGGCACTTGGATCGGTACCTGGACGTGGTCCCTCCTTCGCGTAGTTGACTGTTCGTTTGTGAAGGGTCCAAAGGGACCGCGCAAAATCCGCGGCGTTGTGGGGCTGGTCAAGATTGTCATAGACTTTCAAGTGCTGGAGAGTGCGGATGTCCATATCGCCCACATTGTCCACCCGCTCACGCGACTCCTGCAGCGCATCCTGAAGGGTACCCAAACGAACAGGCCCAAGCTTGGCGTCCTGTTCGGGATTGGGGCGTTTCAACTGTTTCTGTTGCTCTTCGGTCGAGCCCACACCTCTGGCGGATGAACACAAAGGCTTGCAAACACCCTGGGAACTGAGCATGCAAGACATCTTGGTTCACAAGCGGCATATACTCTGTGGGAGGGCGGTGCAATGCCCAGATCTTTGAGCTTTGCCTTGACATCCTCAAGTGTGGTGTCCCACGCCACACTTGGGGGCAGCTGGTTTTGAGTTCTCGTGGCTTGAGCCGCGGATGTATGTAGGTATGTAGGTATGTAGGTATGTAGGTATGTAGGTATGTAGGTATGTATGTATGTAGGTAGGTAGGTAGGTAGGTAGGTAGGTATGTATGTATGTATGTATTCTTTCTTCTTCTAGAGGGGCAGAGTGCTCAGGCCGTCGTGGCCAGTGTCGGTGGCATTTGCCTCAGTGGCCGCTTCTCAGAAGGTGCCTGTCACGTGGTTGGCCATTAGAAGTAGTCCACTTCCATGCATGGGTCATCTTGTGTGGGTTCTTCCTCTCCTTGCTCCTGTGGGCTGTCTGCCAAGTTGGAGCTAGCAGGCGCTGAGGAGAACCGGAGCTTTTTGGGCACTGGTGGTGACATAGTCCCTGGTGCATCCAAGGTGGTCACTGCCGGCTCTGGAGGTGGCTGGGTCTCATGGCCTGTTTGGGTGACTTTTGTTGCCTGGGTGCCTGTCTGGCTGTGCTGGCTTTGGGTGCTGAACAACTGCACGAGGGTGGGTGATTTCTGACTCTGACCTTGGCAGGGTCGCTTGAGGGCCTTGGTCAAGATCACCCTGTCCTCCGCGTCAAGGTGACTCTGGGTGCCACAATTGGTGCACCTGATGCCCTTTCCCTTTTGCCAAAGGGCATGGGTGTGGTGGGCTTCATGTGCTTTGCCATAGCTTTCATCGATGCAGCGGCGGTTGATGAACTCCTGGAAATTGGTTTCATTCGTCCGTTTGTGGATGGACAAGCTGCATTTCATGCACTTGAGGTACCCAGTCGTCTCTTGGAATGTGTGCTCGTCAGGAGCTTGTGGGTGTTGTTGCTGGACTTCAAGGAGCTGCTTGATGGTGCTGGCCCTTGTGAGCTTTTGCCCAACCGGTTTGTTCGGGCGGAGATCAGGCTCTGGTGCTTCGTGGACCAGGAGTTCACAGTCCTGCTGGAGATGCTGTTCAATGACTTCCACCGTAAGTCCTTGATGGACTCGGGTAACGCGGATCGTAGGAGGACGGGGTGGCATCCAGCGTCACCGAAAGACCTTGCCATGGTTGGAGTGGCAGGGGCTCGAGGGAACTCCAGCATCCATGGCCCTGGAGCGGTTGAGCCTGTTGGCGGTGATCCTGGGGTTCTCGTGGGATTTAGTAGTATGCCCACATTGGTCCCTCCAGTGGATCTTGGAGCCGCTCTGTCCATTCGACTTCCAGCGGTGCATGGCCTTGATTGTGGTGCCAGGTGCATAGCCATACGATGTGCTTGGGTGTTGCCGGTACTCCAGATAAAGGGCATGTTTTGATCTGGTCCCCTTGGCGGTAGTGGAGGGCTGCTTGGTTCCATGTCTTCATATGCTGGACCTGTTGCTTTGGGAGGGTTCTCGCCGCTTTGGTGGCGATGGTCCAGTCCAGCCCACTGACCAGATTCTGACAGTTCCGTTTACTGGCCAACCGGCTGGTCCGCTGTTGCTGTGCCTCATGGTGGAGGGCTCGTTCAATGGTCGCCCAGTCGTCCTGCAGATTGATGTGGGCTTCTGTCATGAAGGCCGTTTCATGCCGGTGCCATTGGTAGATGGAATCCGTCGTCCAACCCCATTCCTTGAGGTATGCCAGGGTGGCAGCCATTGGTCCCTTGACGTGGTACCAGGGGTGCTGCTGCTTGTGGATCTGGTTACGGATGCCCAGCCATGCCTGTTCGACGTGCTGGATGTGGTCTGGGGGCCAGTGGTGGATCAGGGTGTGCAGAGCCCTGATGTGGTGGATGATGACCTGGTCTCCTGGGTCAGCGAACTTTTTGTTGGTCATAGATGACGTCTGTCAGCCCACCTTGATGTAGGCCAAGGTGTGTGGCCAGCCCTTGGCGAAGTGCCATTCTGTACCTTGCGGCTAGTCCTTGGCCTTCAAAGCCCCAGAAGGCGACTGGTTGTACTCCGCCTCGGTGGAGTCTTAGTCTGGTGCGGATGTTGGGCAGCTTGAGGCTGCGTAGTTTGATCCGCCTTTGCTTGTTCTTCTTGAACCTCTGTTGGAGGGTGGCTATGCGTCTTCTCCTTCCGGCGGAATGATCAATCCCAAGATCTCTCATCACGGACTGGATGGGTGGGTCGTCTGGTCCGAGAAGCTTTTCCAGTTCTTTGTGGATGACCCTGTCCGTGACAATGAAGGCTGTCTTGTGACTGTTCACTATCAGGCCTGCTGTGGTGAGGTCGGCCCTGAGGTGCTGCCATGCCTGGATGGTGCGTTGCGCCAAATGGACTGGATCTGTGTGGTTGCCATCAAAGCCAATGTCGTCAACCCATCCATTGAGGTGGAGGTCAGGGAACGCCTGCTGGAAGCTGGTGAGGATGGGCTGCAAAAAGGTCTTGGCGAGGAGTGGAGCTTGGGGGCATCCAGCTGCTACGCCCGTTGTGGCATGGAACCAGGGGCTGAGTTCACCCTCGGCCAAAATGGCCTTGTGTCCAGTGTACACCTGCATGGCGAACTCTAGTCCCAGCGGGGGGTAGTCCAAGTCTTGGGCTGTTTGTTGCAGTCGTTGAAGGTCTAAAGTGTCGTAGAAAGTGCTCATGTCCAGCAGGACAGTGACTCCAGGCTGTTGCTCCGGGTCTGGCTCTGTCATAGTTCATGGCCGGCGGGAGGTTGTTTCGCCATGCATCCATGAGTGGCTTCCTCCTCTTGCACCAGACGCGATAGAGCACGCTGGTCAGAGTTATGGGTCGCTCCACCTTCTCATTTTTGGCCAACATTACCACCAAGCTCAAAGTGAGTTGGGTGGGCAGTTCAGCTTTGGCTTCCATGGCTTGGAGGATACCCAAAAGGGGCTGTAGGGCCTGCTTGGGCGCCGTGCGGAGCAGCTGTGTGGTGATTGCATCTGGTCCACATGCTTGTATGTATGTATGTATGTATGTATGTATGTATGTATATATGTATGTATGTATGTATGTATGTATGTATGTATGTATGTATGTATGTATGTATGTTTTTTTTCTTTTCTTCTTAAGTTTGTGCTCCTTGGCCGTTTTGGCCCATGTGCTAGGGCTGGTGCCTCAGGGATGCCGTCCCTCAGAAGTACTCGACAGTGAAAGGTTGGTTGTCAGGGTCACTGCCGGGAGTGAGGTGGCTGTCCAACTCATCGGCAGTAGCCTGTGCTTGAGGTGGTGCATCATTTCCTCGGCTCGAGCTGGTTGATGCCCGTGCTGCCTCGTGGCTGGGGTTCATGGCCATTGCAGCTTGGGCGTGTTCAGGGTCTTGTTCCTGGAGGTCCAGATCCGTTTGGAAATGCAGTCTCCTTGGAGTAGGCCTTGGGTGTTCAGGGTGGCAAGTCTGAGGTGGCCACCTTGGTTCTAGTTTGGGTTTCTTGACTCGTTCTGGCAGGGCCTGTGACTCGTGTGGTGCCTGTTGGCTGGTGTCTCCAGATGAGTCCGGGGAGCCACTCTGGGATGCTTGTTCCAACTGCTTCCTGAAGATCTCGGTCAACGGTGTAGAGCTTTGGCTGCCTGAGCCTTTGCAAGGCTTTTTGACAGCAGCTGTGAGGATGAGCCTGTGCTGGCCATCAAGGTGCAAGGTGATGCCACACTGTGTACATGTTGCTTTGTTTCCTTTTTGCCACAAAGCATGACTGGAGTGGCCTGCATGGTCCTGGTTGTATGGCTGGTCAAGGCGTTGCCCTTTCTTCAAGCTCATGCTGCTGTGGTGGGGGCTTCGCCTCTTGTTGTTGATGCAAGAGGTGTTTGATGACCTGAGTTCTGGTCATTTTCTTGGGCATGGGCTGGTGCGGTTGCTCTGGTGCCGGGAGTTGATCCTCAATCCTGAGTTGGGGACAGTCTTCATTGAGGCGTTCCTCAATGACCTGCACCGTCAGTGCTTGATGAACTCGAATGCCACAGGCACCGCATTGATGTCCACTTCTGTGTGGTGCCCAGCGGTGAGATGGAGCTGTCCAGGGTTTGCTGCACATTGCAATGAGCTGCTTCTTGTATTGTTTTGTTTGCTTGCCCTGGTGCCTGGGTGCTCCTTGTCACTGTAGATCTTGGCCAGGCGGTTGATGGCGTGGGTGTAGATGAGCTTGTGGTCTTCATCTAACAGTACACCTTCTGCCAGTCCGTGCGCCTGTGGTCCTGGTATTGTTTGGCCCTCTCCCAAGCAGCGAGAGCTGCGTCTCTTTGTCTTCTTCTGAGCTGTGGCTCACTGCCTGGTATGTACGTATGTACGTATGTAAGTATGTAGGTATGTAGGTATGTAGGTATATAGGTATGTAGGTATGTATGTATGTAGGTATGTATGTATGTATGTATGTGTGTATGTATGTATGGTCATGTCATGTCATGTGATGTCATGTCAATTCATATAATGTAATGTAATGTCATGGCGTGTCTTGCATGTATGTAATGGATGGGTGCATGGATGCATGCATGTATGTATGCATGCATTTATGGTCGTTCACTTTGAGGTTCAAGTTGAAAAGAGTTTTTTCGGCGACTGCCCGCGTGCTTGGTGCATTTTGGCAGGAATGCTTAAAAAGCTTCTCCACATGGGTCGCTAAACAACTGAGGAGCAAATCTGGGATTGGCAGTCAAAACTCCCAGCCAAAGCGCAAAAGCTCATCGTGGCTGTCCAAATCATTCGTTGATATGACAAATCAATTCTTAATGCTTCTTAGCCAAGCCTGGCCCATATGTTCACAGAATCAGCTGTATGTATTGTATGCCTATATATATATATATGATATTTTGCGGGTCAAATCTGATGTGTTTGGACGGAGTGCAACACTCAGAGGACTCATCGAGATGCAACTTCGCAAGTCGGGGCAACGCTTCAGAAACTGCAGAAAAGCGTGGGGCTTACATGTCGTGTTCGAGAAAAGGCTTTCAAATTCATCGCGGACGGACTCAGTTTGATTTGGCCTCAATCAACTTTGTCCAAGAGTTAAAACAAGGCCTCTTCGATGAAGAGATGGGAAAGGTCGACTTTGCATCGGCCATAGTGCCGACCTGAGCCATCAACCATGATTTTGACACGCTCCGCCGAACGCGTTCCATGGATCTGGAAAAGGATCCGTGGTTCGAAGAACAAACATCATTTTCCCAACTGCCACGTGGTCCCACTTGGGACGTGAGTCCGAGTGCTACGAGGCCTTGCTCAATGAGCTGCCACAGCGCCTTGAAGCTGTGGAGGAGAACACCCGGACCTTGGTGGCCCGTGTGAACAAGCTCAATAGCGATCCACTGAAAAGAGCTGGCTGCCTAGACAAACCAACACTCTTCCTCAAAAGCCTCGCAAATCGGGTGAGAGCTTGCACTTTGTTTTCATCCTTCTCTTTCAGGTTTCAACAAGAGGATCTATAGCACCGGTCAGCGGGCCGCGAGAATTTGAAATCCACGACAAGCCTGGCGATCAGGCAGGCCAGACAAGCTGGGTTCATTTTTGGCTTCGCAGCCCAAAAGCGTGTAGGCTGTGAAAGAGTGTAGGGAAGCGGTGAACCTCATGTTGGAAATGCAAAGGCAACTCGGCTTGGTGACTCTGAAAACATCATTTTACAGCTCACAGCTAAGGAACTTCAAAGAGCAGCAAGAAGAAGCATTTGTCAAAAGGCGCGCATCATGTGACAAGAGCAGCAGGTCAGCTTGTCAATCCTCTTAAGAAGACTCATTGAAAAGGCTTGGCGATTCAGGCTCAACCGGTTCAGTCAGTGATTATGATTGTATGTGATTACAGTAATGACGATATTTTATTTCAAGTTGGCCCACAAAAGCCCATATTCCATTGAGTCAGTGATCAATGACACTATCTTTTGATTTCGCCAATTGGCCACAACCAACGCAAGCCCAGATTCCTTTCTTCATGTCATGCGCCATGCGCTTGTGCACAGGCTGGCCAGCTTTGATGTGGCTTTCCAAGAAGCTGGCCTTGCCAATGCGGAAGAGATTGCCTACCGCTTCCATGCGCAAGTGCGAGAATTGGAGGGGATCTATGCTCGAGCTGCTGGTCTTGAAGAGGGTGGGAGCCTGAGATGTTGGTTGAAGGATCAGACATGAGAGAGAACTTACAAACTTATCCTTTGCACTGCCGTTTAGAAGGATTCTCCATTCACTGAAACTGATAATTCTTCACAGGGATAACCCTTCATATGTCTTTCTCTGTGCATAGAAATCAATGACGATACTGTAACAAAGATGATAGTGGAGCAAGCCCCAAATAACTTGCCGTAGTCAATGTCCCACACATGTGATAGCCGTGCACAATCAGATTTCCAACCTTGCCTTGAACGCTGTGCTCGTAGAATTGCTAGGCTACTAGCTGTGCTAGTCCGGAATGGCATGAATGAACTTTGCCATGGGGCTACGGAATGAACTGTACGCATGTTGTTGTGTGTTGCCAGTTTAGGCAATGCATGCAATGGCACGCAGTGCATGTGAATGCACACTCACATGTTGCAGCTAGTCAAAGCACTGTAAGGTCTGCAGAATGTGGAGGAACACTTGGCTAAATCTCTCCAAGGAATTGATGATTGGAAGGCCAGGAAGCTACAGTATGTAAGCAGCTGACGTATTCCGCCCAAACCGAACAAACTGAACCAGAGCGGACATTCAGGCTGCTTTCTCCGTGCGCCTTGATGATCTTGAAGGACGAATTGACCAGGCCAAAATGGACCATTGAAGAAGTGTCGCACATGACCATGAGATCCATGAGAGGCAGAGGATCAATTCAAGACTCAAACTGGCGACATGGAGGTCCGGCAATCGCAAGAGGGAGTGCATTTCAAGAGTTGAGCTATGGCCTTCCAAGGCTCTCGCGCAACAGCTGAACAAGCTGGCAGAGGAGAACCAAGGCTCAAATGGCCTCAGCTGTGTCTTGCAACGCTTTGAGCAAGACACTCTATTGGGCATACCCGTTTCTTTTGGCTCCAGGTCTTAGTAAGCTCACAGACAAGCACAACAAAGACGATCATGTCATGAAAATTAATTGGAAGCATCCTCTCAAGGCAGTTTGCACCGGTCAGCCGAAGTTGCACTAGATTTCCTTCAACATATCCATCATCCAGCATATCGCATCATTTGGATGCCATGCCGAAGAATCTTGGCCTTGATATGCCTTGATGCTTTGCAGTTCAAACCTTGCAGATCCTTGCAGTGTTTTGGACAGTTGACGACAAGTGAACATTGGAGCCGCTCAGGAAACTCAATCGCATTGCAGCCCAGAAGAAGCCGCATGGGAAACCAGACACACAGTGCATAGCACATTGCTTGAGTGGGCCTTTTTGCTGCAAGCGGATAGGATGCAGCTGTGTCACATGCAGTGTTTTTTGCAAGAATGGGCTCTTTGCCATACACGAGAATTTGCACTAATTATACGTTATGCTAGATTTGCTTGAAAGGTAGAGGTTGTTCAACGCACTTTGCGAATGCCCCAATACCAAGTTGAAACGCCACAAGTGTAAGCAGAAGCATGCACCTTTACCGCCAAGGTGGGAAGAAATCCCAAACGATTCTAGGGAGCTCGCGCTGCTACAAGTCCTCCATCCTTCGAGCTACCTCTAGCTACTACCTTAAGTTTCCCTAAAAATCTGGGAACCAAATCATTAGCGCGAGCTATCCTGCGTCCAGTAGATAGTAGCCACTTAAGCTACTAGCGACTCCCTAGCTACTACCACTTCAGCGGCCTACTCCCCCCCCCGAAAAAAAGAAACGAGAATTGGTCTCTTTTCGGTGGGTCTGGTGAGTTTCTGAGGTCCGATCGGATCCGGTGGTTTCGGCTGTTGCATCGGACCAGGATCAAGGGTCAGACAGGTAGCTGTTCGTTCGTGTTTCCTTGATGTTGGCAAAGCTTGAGGTTGCGTTGCACAAGGCAGATTGAGAAACTTGTTCGCAATCTAATCTTTTGCGCCTCCTTTTCATTCAGTGGGCTCTGAACTTGAATTCTCTTGCGCATGGACAGATCTGTGTTTCAGAGTGAAGTTTGGAGGAGAACCTTTTGCTTGATTCTTTGCGCCAATGAGTGTAGCTCAACACATTCAGGGAACCAAGGGTTTTGTTTTTTGCTTTTTCTCCACCGTCAGCCTTGAGCAATACCCAAGTCTCTTGTCATGAATTGAGCAGAATACGATTGAACTCTGAGAATCTTGCTGAGGATGCCATTCTCTGCCAAGCATAAAACATCTCCAGTTCCATACTGCGAGAAGCATTTGCGATGGGGGGGACGGTGCTTTCAAGGTGCACAAACATCCGAAAGGATACGGCAAAATCCTGGTTGCCAGATACAATCTTCCGAAAGGATACCGCATGGTGTACCACGGTGTCCGGAAGACCACTGGTCAGGACGCTGATTTGGATCCTGACGAGGACCGCACTTTGTGGTTTTATCCAGGCAACGACTCCGAGCGGGTGAATGGGTATATCGACCCATCCCCATGCCCAGGCTCAGTGCTGCAATTCGCGGCCAATGGAGGCCCCGGCGAAGTGGCCAACATTCGTCAAAGCAATCGTGGCTTTGGGCGCCGTAATGGAGACTATGCAGGGATGGAGTACGTGTCTACCATGCCCATCCCTGCTGGTTGGCAGCTGGTCCACAACTATGGATCTGAATGGTGGAAAGATAGACCAGAGATCGTCCGTTCCAATGTGGGCACAGAGCCTTGGACGAAAGGGCTTTAGCTGTTGAAGGCAAGAGAGTGAAAGGGCTCTGCAAGGCAGGTGTCTTCACTGCTTCATTGTCTTCACTGCCTTCACTACTCACCCCCAACTGTCTTCACTGCTCGCAAGTATGAAGGTGCCCGAAATGAACAGTATGTTTGAACGTTCCATGGAATGTGGATTTTGACAAGTGTCTAAGGAGCGATTTCCCGCACCACAAAGAAAAGCTAGGAAAGTGAGCTGCAAGTGAGAAGAGACACGCAGGACATTCATTTGGCGATTGGACTTTTACTAGTTTTGACATACTTTGGAGCTTCTGTTCAAGTAGATCTCTTTGAAAGTCTGCAAAGAAGCTCCTGAGTTATTCTTGACCCCGCTTAAATTTTGCGCGGGTGAGAAAAAGCCTTGAAAGGTGTTGTCAGCAGACATTGAATCAAAGCACCCTTGTCAACAAGAGCAGCTGCAGTGTGAGAGCATTTGAGAAGCATGGACTGAATCTTCATGTTTCATGAGTGCAATCTTGGAAGGTGACAGAGTCACTTTGACCCGCTCGCGCGGCAGCCACTCAAAGGACAGAGAGATAGCTGGGAGAGCCGAGTCATGAGTTGAAATGTTCGAGTCCAGGAAGAAAAAGACAAGAAGATGAGTGATCTAGATGCTTGGCAGAAAGAGTTCTATTGCACCTTTGTACAGCAACTTGCCGCCCTTGAGACATTGAGGTGATCGAAAGCATCCAAGAGGACTTCTACCTTCACTTCTACTTCACTCATGATTAATTTGATGAGAAATCTGCTAGGTCAGTGATGTCGCTCATCAGGACATGGCAAAATCTCAGAATGCTGCCCAGAAAGCCATCTCAATGGCAGAGGAACGTTTTGAGCCAGAATAATGATCAATCGATCAATTTATACATATCCTTCTCAGGAATTGGAAAAAGTGGTTGGAAAGATGCAGCAGGAGCCATGGCGCCAATTAGTGATTAGCCACCATGGCGGCAATTGGCCCTTTTTCATGTTGGCGGTACTTCTGCAGAAGAAGCTGTGTATGAGGAAATGTACACACAGTCATCATCTCCCAACGCATGGTTGGAGGCTTATTTGCTTTCAGTTGGCGACAAAAAAACTGAGTAGGCCTTGTACTTGAGAATTTATATTTTGGGCGAATGCCAACATGTTGCTGGAGCTGGGCTTGCTAGCCTGGTTGAGGCCTCTCCGAAATGCGATTTGCCCAGAGCGATAGGCATGGCTCGGAGCAACATGCCCAACATGCCCAGTCGATGAGGCGCGTCCAGGCCGTTTGCCGAATTTACCTCCGTCCTCGCTGGCACAGGAGGACGGTGCCGGAGCACTAGGCTATACCGATATACCTGACACACCTTTTTTCGTTGACATTGCACTGGAGGAGGAGAAAGATGCACCAAGGCGAGCCAAGATCCTGTTTCACGATCAGTTGAATGTACCAAGGTAGTTGAGTGTATCTTGTGCAGACAAGCAAAACGTATCTTGCGACTTTGACAGGTATCTAATCACAGATGACCAAGCATGGGAGGACTGAATGTAGTGATTGTTTAGCCTGGTGCATGCAATGAAGTGTGCTACTTGCAGTATTTGGAGCTCCCCAAGCACAAGGCTGGAGATGCGGTTGTTCGGTGTTCGCTCTCTTCTCAGTTCGCTTTGCCGCTCTAGGCGAAAGAGGCGAAAGAGCGGTTCCTCCCTCCAAGCGGTGGCTGCTTCCGTCATCGTGCGCGTTCCAGTCCTTAGCTCAGCAGCCACGCGGAGCTTGGGCTCCCGAGCCTCAGCTGAGCCTGAAAGACTCCAAGGAAACAAGCGGCCATCAACAGCTCAGAGCTGGCAAGTGCAAGTCAGAGGAGGCCACCCTTTGCGGCTTACACTTCAAAGCATTTGGTGGCTATCTTCTAAGCACTTGGAGAGTCTAAACGAAGTTCTCTGATGTTCTCTGTAACTGGTCTGAATTCACCGGTAGAATTGGATTCGGGACACGGACTTCACAAGCTTGCCTCCTCGTCTCTGTTCTATGGTGCTTTTGTCTTGGCACTTGAGAGAGAATTGTGTAGAGTTTGTCGTGAATGTATATTTTCCCTACTGTAATTGCTGAGTTCCTGCTTTCCATTGTCACTATGTCTTCCTCCATTAGTGTCCCGCCCCTTTTCTGATGTGCAAGTAGAAGGAGGTGTAATTAAGTAAGTGAGTGGGCTTGTCATTTTGATCGACTTTTTGATAAACTTTCGCATTGGATCCTTGTCCTGCACGCTACACCTGCAGAAGCCGCCCGGAGCCGACCTGCCACCGCACATGCTGCGAATGCGCACTGACTTTTCGATGAACCGGCGACGTCGTTGTCGCACCATTCTGCAAAGCTCGGAATGTTCAAAAGGGTGCGATTGACAACCTGTGGCGGCTGACCCTTCTGGAGCACAGGAACACAAGGGGTATTTTTCTGATTGAAGTCCTGTGATTCTCGGCTCTTAGACAGATGCTTTCTGAAAGCAGCACTTGTCTTCATGTGTTGCAGTAGTGGTGGCTGGGTACCATACTTGTCACTATCCGACAAACACTCTAGCTTCAACTTTGACAACACTGCCAAAGATATGATCGTTTAGAGTTTAGAGACCGAATGGCATTGCACCAGCATGACCTCGTTGTACCCGCCACTGCCGCTGGGAGCCTAGTCAGATACGACGTGTTTGAAGTGTACGAGCTGCAAACCGATAACAGCAGCTAACAGCCTAATGGGCCTAACGATACCTTTATTTGTGAAAGATTCTCAGGGCACCTGCGGCACCGGTACTCCCTGGTCCACAAGCTGCTGGCACGCAGAGGGCACAAAGCCAAGCTGAAGGCTGTGGCCACCAAGCGGTTTAGGGCAAACAAAATGATTTTCGATTGAACACTTGAGCCTTGAGAAACCCAGCACCTCTGGTTTTCCTGGTTGTGCAGACCAAAACCGGCAGCGTTTGCTGCTGTCCTGCCACCTCCAAGATCTTCTGAGTGCTGGGACAAGTGAGAGGGAATCTCAGTGCCTGTTAAGTGAATAAGTTTCTAGTTTTGAACCTTCAGAGCAGTTTAAAGGTCATTCACCCTGAACTCAAGGCCCGTTCGACGTCCGCTGGTCACTGAAAAGACGCATGCTCGGTCCCTAGACGCCACAGGCGACTCGGTGACGTCAGTCTCACGGGCCGGCTTTAAGGGCGGCCTGGCCGGGCTGGGGGCCATGCCACTCATGTTCGTTGCTGCCAGGAGCCCCTAGTAGCGTCCTTGCTGGCCATGCCGTTTTGTGTGCGTTTTTACAGCGTTTCGGACCTTGGGTGCCATTGTTGGATATTGTTGGCTTCTGCGTGCGCACGGAGACGATTCTCTGGCTTCGAGTCTCAAAGAATTATGGATGCATCTGCTATAGAGGGTTTGTATTTTCTGTCTTTCTGAAAGGATACTTTATGCGGTTGCTTTGTTATTGAAAAGTGAGGTTTTTTGATCTGGAGTGGTTTGGCATGCAGCTAAAGAAGGTAAGTTAGCTAGCACCCAGCTCTTGGTTGCCACCGGCAACTGTCCATGAAATCACGAAAGGTAGCGGTTACGCTACCTGAGTTTTCCTTTTGCTTTAGCAAAAATATATTAACCCAGAGCTGCAGCCTATCTCTCGGAGAAATGGTCCCCGACATCTTCGTTTGCTGGGGGGGGGGGGGGGGGGCCCCCCCCCCCCCCCTTTCAACTCCACCCTACCGCGCCTCGGGGTCAACCGTTCGAAAACACTGTAAATATCAGTGTTTTCAGCTCTTCCAGTCCTCAGCAGTGACCAAACATCATGGAATTTACAGCGTTTTTTGCGGCTGTCCGGCAAAAAGCACCGCAAAAACCGATGGTTTTTGATGCGTCTCGGTTAGAAAAATGACCGAAAAAAGACCAAAAACCAGGAAAGATTTTGTCAGAAAGGGTTTTTGAGGCTTTTGGAGGCTTCAAAATTGCACAAAACTATGGTATTTACAGGGTTTTGTGCACCTTCCCGGCAGAAAACGCCGGTATTTACACGGTTTTCTGCGCTTTTCCAGCGCTCAACCGTGGTGCGCCTTTGGATCGACGGCTACAAAATACCGTAAATACCAGTGTTTTCAGCTCCTCCTGTCTTCAAGCGTGGCCTTAGACCTTGCCGCGGCTGTGGATCGACGGCAACGAAACCTCGTAAATACCAGTGTTTTTGAGCACGTCCTGTTTGCAAGCATGGCCTGCGGCCACGCAATTTACAGGGTCGCCGCACGTCACTATGTAAATCCGAAGTTGCATTTGAGAAATATGTGACTCCTTTTGAAGGCACGTCAACCTGTATTGAAACCGCTAGACCGCTACAGCTTCTGGAGGTTTTGTCAAGCGTTTGTGCACTAGTCTTTCTTTCATCACGCTCACTCACTTCTCTTCAAACAAGTGGGGGGCCTCTCACCCCCTCCCGGATTACGCCTGATTCCCTGCTACCTTTCGTTCACCCCCCTCCTCTCTCAAGTACACCTTATAGATATCAGATAGATGGCAACTTGTGAACATCTACGGAAGTTCTCTAGTTTCTAGTTTCGGAAACGTCATGGTGGCCCTTTCTTCTCTGGATCTATCCATCACACCCAATCTGCAGATTCCGGTGGATGAGACATGACGTCTCACGACTGTCATCAACCATCAGCATGTGACGACCTGTTGGGCCAACTGGCACAGGCCTGCCTGTGTTTTGGAGGTTCTGACCGATTGGTTGTCACTGTGGATACACGACGGAAGTGTTGCAAATGCCACACCAAGCTCTGGAAGCGTATTGAGTGCCCCAGCGAATTTAACCTGGACGTGGCTTGCTTCAGACTGTAGCTGATAAGCAAATAACTATTTGTCTTTCTAGTGTCGACCGCAAAGCCTGTGGCGTTGAGAGTGAGGATGCTAGAGAGCCCATCACGCCGGGTCTTGTACTGGACGCACGCCAAAGCTTCCTGGGCTTGTTTGTGGACTTACAATTCTAGTGCTAGCTGCTTACTGCGCCGGTGCCTGTGCTCATGTTTCAAACAATGACATTGACAGGCACTCGCTTTGCAGAGCGTTCAGTGCGCGCCTTGTTCTTAGTCTGAAGCGAGATCAGATGTACCGAACGTCAACGGCAAAGCGGCTGACCTTTATTTATATTTTCTTCACCAGCCTAATTGCAAGGACCCGGCTGAACGGAAGGCGAGCCTCAGGACTTTTCTAGCTTTTCCAAAAAACGAGAACATGAACTGAACTCCCCCAAATGATAGATTTTAACTATTTCCCCAATCACCTTTCTGCCAGGGTTGGGCAAGTTGGGTGGGGTAGTTTCAGGCCTATCCAAATCGATGTTTGGCATCGTTTCGGAGGGTTGTTTCAGATTGTTGCAAACAGCTTTGGTCACATAGAACGGGCAATGAACAGTTTTGTAGCGTTCCACGGTCCACTTAGTCAGGAGAGTTGCACCACATCTGTGGGAAGCCACTCAGTGCACAGCTCAGACTTGTCTACGAGGCTATGGTCTATGAGTCTATGACCTCAGTATGACTCTGACCCGACGGACGGAGCCTTTGAGGCGGACGGAGCCACCGCTCAAAGAGCAGCCTTTGCTTCTTTTGGGTGATTTTCACTCTGCTCCCAAGGAGAAAGAGACGAGAGAACTGGAGATTGGGGATGTTTAGTAAACGCACACACACACACACATTGACGCGTACTGACTCGAATGCCGCTCGCCACAGGGCAACCTAAGGAAACCAGACTCCTGGTCCTGAGAGGAACACTGTGGATCCTGGAGGTCCTTAAACGAAAGTGAGGCCCAAAGCTCAAGACCAGAAACGACGATCACGGATCGACCAAGATGACGACGTTCCGTGCAAGTCAAATTCAAAGCCCTGTGCGTGACTGCCAAGAAGATGAGGGTAACAGCTTGTAAGCACCACAACCAAGCAGGTACGTCCAGCAGGTGTCCTTCCGGATATCAGCCACACTTGCAGCCCTCTTCGTTGGGCAATCAGCTGCAATGTGGGATTGCCACCAGCTTTTTCTAAAACAATCCGAAAGGCTCCCTGTGACTCCAAGGGGTACACACACACACACACCCTCCGTGAACACGTTTTCTGAGGGGAGGCAAAAACTAAGTGACGAACAAGTGTGCGCTGTGCGCGCAGCATGGACAAGAAGATGAAGACATGAGAAAGAGGACAGACGGGACAAAAGTGTGTGTGGTTGGAATGAAGAGGGAACCAGATGCACGGGGACAAAAGATGAGCCAAACCTCATTATCAGAGCCTGGGGCGACCTGAAGCCTAAGTGTACAGTAGATGTGCGCGTACAGACTCAGGCCCGGACCGAAGTGCCCGCAAGAAAAAGAAAGGAGTGAGATGACAGGACATGAAGCAAGGAAAGAAAGTATGTGAAAAGGGGAAAAGATGAAAAACCAATGAAGGGGCCGGGAACCAATGAAGCCAGACCTCATTACAACGACCTAGGAAGACCTGCCTCGTTTGAATGTACATGCTGTGTGTGCACCTGAGGTGACGACAGGTTCCAATGAACCTAGACTTGCTTTGACCGCTCTGCTCCTTGTGCCATGCCAAAATGGCGGGCGACTTGAGACCGCTGCGGTCACCTAAAGGCATGCCCGAAGGCGGCCAGCTTAGAATTCAATCCCGCTCTGGGCACGTGCGTTTCCAAAGCAAGGGAAACAATGACAAGCCCCCGTTCAGGAGTCTGGTTTCCTTAGGTTGCCGTGTGGCGAGCGGCGTTCGAGTCAGTACGGATGTCAATAAGTGTGTCTCTCCTCAGTGAGAGCCCGGAGTGACCCCGACGAGTGGCCCCTGTGGACCCGTTGAGAGGAACACTGTGGATCCTGGAGGCCCTTAAACGAAAGTGAGGCCCAAAGCTCAAGACCAGAAACGACGATCACGGATCGACCAAGATGACGACGTTCCGTGCAAGTCAAATTCAAAGCCCTGTGCGTGACTGCCAAGAAGATGAGGGTAACAGCTTGTAAGCACCACAACCAAGGAGGTACGTCCAGAAGGCGCCCCTTCCGGATATCAGCCACACTTGCAGCCCTCTTCGTTGGGCAATCAGCTGCAATGTGGGATTGCCACCAGCTTTTTCTAAAACAATCCGAAAGGCTCCCTGTGATCCAAGGGGTACACACACATGTAAGGGTCACTTCAACAGGGTCCTCATTTGAGTCGCCCTTACCTTTTTTGTTCTTGTTTAATGGTGTATGCCACTGTGCTGCTACCTTGCTTTACAGGACGTCGGAGCACCTGGCACTTCATGCAGGGTGGTTCTCTGGGCATCAGCCTGAATGGTGGAGGAGGCCTTGCTCTCGGCTTTTCATGGTGTTCTAAGGACGAGAGCCGGCGATGCTTCGCGTCCCACTGGTCAGGATGCTCAGAGGGCAAGACATTTGTTGAATGGGCCTTTGTTGTAGCACTTCCCTCTTACTCCCGCT